TAAAAAAAAAAAAAAAAAAAAAACTGAAAGGGATATTAAAATCGGCAGCATTCCAGCTTTCTTAATTGCTCTGGAGTGTTTGTGCGACTCGGCATGCAGGAGATGTTTTCGTGGTTTTTCTGCTCTGGCACTGAGAACACGCTGGCAGCGCCGTCGACGGGGATTTTTATGAACTTTCGCTCGGTGTTGGGCGTGACAGAAGGTGCGTTCCTCTCTACATCGAAGGCCCGATCTCGCCAGCTAACTTGTCTGTGCGACGTCTTTGTTTTGTGTTGTGACTTTTTAAAATGTATTTTTCAGCACATATGGGGGAACATGTGGCCCCTGAATTGATGTTTGTGTCGTTGGGATAGAGCCTTCACTGTTGAAACAGAAATATCGCAACAACAGCTGCTTTCTTGCAGGCTCATTGCAAAACAGGCCACTAACGGTAACTTAACATTTATTATCACTTAGATAGACAAGGATTCGTAAAACCGTACGATAATGCTGTTCCAGAATAAGTTTTTGCACCAAACTTTCTCATTTAGGTGCCAAATAGAACACTTTTTTTTGTCATTTCCCATACACGCTGATTATTGCTATACATGTTATGTAATTGATTGTAGTGATTGCAGTTTAGTGTAGCAGCATTACAAGTGCAGATAAATGAAACCGGTTTGGTTAGTCAAAGCTCGCTCTTCTTTCTTCTGGTGAATTTCTGTTTCATTTCTGACTGCTCACTGCTTCCGTTTGCCGCTGACTGGTGCTGAAACTCTGCAGGGAGGTGGGCTGATCTGCCAACCATGCACATGTGATGGCACGGGGAAAAGATTCTTATGCTCTGAAAAAAACAAAACAAAAACGCTGTTACTCGCCGTGCTGTGGCTGTTTGGCTCTTTGCAGCAAATGCATAAGTTGGCCGTTTTATCACATCTCAGTGTTTCCCACTGGTTGAGCATGTGGTTGGCATAGATTCATGCAGTTCAGAGGGGGAGAGCGTAATCTAGATTGTTTTCTATGGCCACAGTTTACAGATGACCCCTGAACGCCTCACATACATGTTATGAGAAGATGCTGCCATTTACAGATGTTCCCGAAACGCCTCACACGCATCAGTCGACGCTAGGAGGCTGCAGTGCACAGAGAAGCCTCTAGATAGACACATAGGTTCATAGGATGCCTTATTGATGCCCTGTGGGAAGTTGCAGTGTTGCAGCAGTGATTTACATATCACAAAACACGCAACGTACAGAGAGGTAGGCAAGAAACACGCTATTTTCAAAGTGCTTGCACGTATGCATAAAAACCGGTGTATTGGATCAAAAAATAGAATAGAATTAAAAAAGAATATTTAGATTTACAAGCCTGCTGAGCATAGAGAAGCCTCTAGATAGATAGAAAGATGGGTAGATAGAATGCTTTATTGGATCCCTGAGGAAACCCGGCAGTGTTGCAGCAGGAATTTGCATTTCACAATATGTATATAGTGTGCATTGAGCTGACATGAGGTAGGTAAGAAAAAACACTGCTTTAAAAATATATACACATGTGCATTAAAGCTGCTGTACTGGATGAAAATAAGATTTAAAACAGTGTAAGAATATCACAGTTCTAATACAGGCTCCACTCAGTTGCTGCAGCTTTTTTTATACAGGCGTGTGGCCAACAATGTGTGAGCATGAAAAGAGCGAAATAAAGTGATCCACTGCCAGGTTTACCTCCGTTGAGTAAATTTATCTACCTAGAGACACACACGGACAGACCCGCTAAATGTCAGACGCACCAGTGCGACCCATGAAAATGTTTAGTCGCACTTGACAGATTTTCGGTTGCATGTGCGACCAAAACGGTCGCACTCCGGAGCCCTGACCTTACTACGGCTCGGATTTAAGCGCGGCGGAGATTCAACGTGTCCACAGAATGCGGCGCTGCATCATCTGAAATCGCTCCATTTGTTGCGCGGCTTTGTTTTTGTAACCCCCCCCTCGCTCTCTCTCATCTCTTTTCCTTCCTACCAGATGCAGCAGGTGAGCGCGCAGCCCTCCACAGACAGCGGTCGCTTCCCCACCGGCAGCCCGTCATCCCCCTCGTGGCTCGCATGGCTGACCAGAACACATCTGGCACCCCGGCCATGACCGAGAGGGAGGCGTCCCGTCTGGATAAGTTCAAACAGCTGCTGGCGGGGCCCAACACAGATCTGGGTAAGAGCTGCTCATCCAACAGTCTCTACTTATGTGTCACTGCAGTGTTCGCTCTTACCAAGTTCTCCAGTTCCACTATTGGTCCGTCTCGCTCGAAAGTTTTTGCCCAGCTTTGCCTTTTTTTTTTTTTTTGTTCCCAGACCTCTTCCACTTTTCGGTTTCCTTGCACTCTTTTGCTTCTCGCTCTCAGTCTGCCAGCTGTGCTGCGCTTTTAACGATGCTGTGAGGGGGAAAGTCATCCAGCCATCTGGACATGCAGATTACAAGGGGAAAAAATACCACCAACAACAAAAGCAAATGACAGGCCTTTGTTCTGAGCAAACGACAGGCCTTTATTGTTTATCCAACCCCAGAGACTTTGTTTGCTCCCACTGCTACCCCCAGTGACCATGAAGTCCTTACAGACCTACCTCTTTACAGTCGACTTTGTGTCCTTTACAGCTAACTTTTGGCAACTTGCGCACACCAATTTGTTGCATTAATATCTCTGTTTCAAGTGGATCAGCAGCATCAAAGTGGTCATCAGACCGTCTGCATGCCGGATGTTGAGATCTAGCCAGCGACTATTCTATAATTTACAGTATGCTATGTGTGGAAATGCTGATGATCTCAGATTTAGATCAGCAGCAGCAGCAGCAGCCTTGAAAACTGCAGTTTTTAGAGCTATCTGGCGAGAGAGGAGAGCTTTATGAAATCAAATAAATACCACCATTTCACAGAAGCATCCGCAGTTACATTCAAGCGCCGGGTGAGCAGAGGTCGAGCCTTTGTACGAAACACAAAAAAACTGAACAGTCGATTGTTGCATGAAAGCGTTTTACGTAAATGTACAGTGGCTATATCAAAATAACACGTATAATTATGCAAATACGACGACATGTATGTATTTTAGATGCAGATTGCAGATAAATTCTAAGCACGTTTTCTTTTTGAGTAACAGTTATCTCAGCTGACAACATGGTTTCATTTCCATATAATCCAATTATAGCGATTTGAGATGTTGTGAAGACTTGACGACAAAGAAAAAAAAAAGCAGCTGGTTTGTTCGTTTGACCTTAAAGCTCATAAGCGGACTCATAAAAATACATTAGTTGTGCGGAATATCGGAGGAGGAGGACGCACAGCTCGACTAAAATCACTCTTAAAAGCACTTTTCCTTTCAGGCCTGTGTTAAGATTGAGGACGTACACTTGGTGTCCTTGGGTAGTTTTTTTTTTTTTTTGTGTGTATTTCTGCTCCCGCTGTGTGCATGTGTTTGTTAGGTATGTCTCATAGGCGGGGAGCATGAAGTGAGACTGGGAGAGTGAATCAAAAAAAAAAAAGTGCAGCGCTTAGCAAGACAATGGCTGATGTGCCTGTTGGAATACACTAAATATGCTAAATGCAAAAAGACTGTGTCAGAGATATTTCAGCGCATAAATGACTCAGTTTAAATACTGTAGCTGCAGCTGTGGACTTAATTTACCACAACTGAAGTAGCTACAAGGCGGGCTATTATTAGACGCACGCCTTTTATTGCGATTTTTTTCCTCTTTTCTGAGTACATTTAATCAAATTTCAGTCAGAATCTCCTCAGTTTTTCTGATCTGCTCTCGTTGCTGGGGATAATTCGCGGTTGCTGCCGCGAATACAAAGTCGACGCTCGCTCCATCTGTTTGACATTAAAAACCTGCCACAGTTTCAGAGGACGTACTGTCTGCCACGCGATGCTTTTATTGTGAAACATATGAATTATGGTCCATCTGATACTTGATTTCTGAGGCTGATTAACAGGATGACTGAAAATTTGATTTGCATACAAATCAGGATACTTACAACTCCGAATTGATCCGCACATAACAAATGGATTGTTGTTGTAACGAAACTAATCACTTGTTGACGGAACCAAGGAGGCAGACGGGCCACAGCTGACCACGCAGACAATTTACAGACACTAATATCTTTTAGTTCATCTTCGTTTGGGTGTGTTCTGGATTTATGGGTGTAATAATTACCTTCCCTGGATGGCTTTCCTAATGAAATATTTACAGTGCAGCCTGACCAGCGCTGGGTTTTAAGGTTGGTATTTGACAGTTTTAGAAGCTTGATAGCAACTTATCAGCCAGGTGACACCTCAAATATACAGACGGGTGACGTAATTAAAGTAAAAACCAGGTCCCTGAATAACAATGATCAATAGGGCATGAGTGATCACTGAATAGCTCAATGAGTAAAACGATGTGAATCATATTTTGTGGCCTTTACAGTCACCAGATTGCAAACTAGGCCCCATTTTCACTGTAATATGAAGTCATGGACCTCTATGGAAACAGACAATATGTCAACGAAAGTTTACAAAATTTAAGATTAAAATAAAAAAAAAAATAAATAAAAATGAGGCAACACATGCAACAGGTGTTACCAACACTGGAAAAATTAATATGACCCTACATGTTTAACTACATATTTGCTTATTTGTTCCTATACTTGTCTCCTGTTTGCTCTGTGTAAACACTGCCTGCAGTTCAGACCAGTTGAGAGGAAGAGTCCCTTTTTTTTTTTGTTATGTGACTACTGACAGCAGCTGAGTCACTAATGGCTTCATGGCTGCACAAAAGAGTGTAGAATTGTTTTCTTTATTTCTTTTCTGGCGCAAACATTTAGATTTTTTTTTAGGTTTTATATGAGATATGTATAATGAAATGATTCTGTAAAAAAAATCACTATTTGAAGCTTAGACTTGGATGATTTTCCGAATGGAACTGCACATAACAGATGAATACTTTAATGATAGTTGTTTTTAAAGTTTCTGTCTCTGATTTGAAGGGAAAAAAAAGAAAGATAAAGATAATATGTCTGTCAAACTTGCCGGCAGGGAGCAAAGGGTTAATTTGTCGCTGTCTTGTACGCTCATGTTTTCCGCTGACATGCACGCCTTAACTCATACACCTGCAGTAAATATCAGCTAATATCTCTGCTCAGCTAATTTATTGTTCAGGCTCTAATTTGCAGACAGAGTTGAAATTCAATTAAATTATGTACATTACACTGTAGATCAGATATTCCTCAGCGCGTGTGATTTTATTAATTACTAACCGTAAACACATATCGACCGGTTTGCGTCCACAAAAACTTATGCCGTCGACAGACGATTCATTTGCAGTCTGAGTAACCGTGTGTGTTTTGTATCCTTCGGACAACTTTGCCACTGCTGTTACTTTCCACGTGTGGATCACTTTAAGGTAAACACAGTGGCAGCGTTGGCCGAGATCCAGAAATGTAAATGCTGGATTTCATTAGGTTGGAATGGCCTTCGTCAGCACACTGCTTCACCTCTCCAAAACTTTTTGAGCACAACAAACTGGCTCGCAAGTCATCAGCGTTCGTCAACAGCGGACGCAGCCGGCTCGGGCAAAGTGTATCTTGTACATCAGCAGAGTGTCTTGAGATGTCAGCCCCCATTAGGGCCTGCCAGGCATCACATGCCGACTGTCTAAATTTAGTTTAGTCTCTGCGCCATGATTAGATAGCCCAGAACGGGCGAGCCACGCTGCCGGCTGCTGGCAGCATGAAAGATGAACTTCATTCACGGGACATAATTAAGTGAAGGATCGGAGGAGGGGGTTGCTAAGAGGTGGTAGGGGAGGAGAGAAGGATGGGGCAGATAAGATAAGATAAGATGAAACTTTAATGATCCCCGTGGGGAAATTGGGTCATTGCAGCACTAAAGAACAGGATATAGACGAGATTGCAAAAAAAATACAGAGTCACTTTAGATGCTGGTTTGTTTTTATAATTGTTTTGGGAGAATTTCACCGCCTACCGTTTGCTGCTTTTTTAAAAGCAAGCTGACCAGACAGATTCCGCTCCTTGTCCTTTTTCAGGCGAGGTAATCATTCCTGCTTGCTGCCTGTGACACATTTACAAATTCACACACACACACACACCAGCAGACACTGTCAGTGGGGATGACGCCCCCTTGTGTAAAGGGAAATTCGACCGGCTGTCCTTGAGCTCAAAGGACGGGGGCCGACATGATCCATTGGCTGGTTCCTCACTTGAATGGTGTAATTAATTGCAGAGGCAGCCATGTTTTTGGGCCAAGCCCCACGACATGTCAGACCTGCCATTAGCTCGACTCCGCGTGTGCGTCGGTCAGCGTGGGATTAAGTGTGGCTCTGCACAGCTCGGCATCTTGGGCCTCTTGATTTGAGCGTAATGTGATAATTTGCAGCCTTGTGCCTCGAGTGACTAAGTGGGAAACTTTGTCTATTAGTGCATAGATTTCAAAGGGATACGTGGTAAAAAAAAAAGACAGGCGTTCTCAGACACCCGTCTCACCTGTCACCATATCACCCTCCATGTCTTTATCATGTTAAATTCGCTCCGCTCGCCTCCACGTCCATCCTTCACACTCACAACTTCAACATCTCTGTTAATTTTTCTCCCTTTAACTCTCCCTCCATTGAGCCTTGCGACAGGTTGTGACAGGAGTCTGTTTAGCATGTAAGGTCGTGTAGAAGGTGATGACCTGTGCGCGCGCCAGAGTCGGGTGATTGATGTCAGGTTGATCTCGGCTAATTATTCCTGATGTCCTGAGGCGAGTGTGTCTGTTGAGCGAACCTGAACACAGCACCCACTGTACGCACAGTGAGGAGGAAGCTATTTCAGCAGGGAAACTGAGGGGAAATAGGAAAAAAAAAGATCTGACTATTATAACCACACACGTTTGCAGTTTCACTTCTTGTTATTGCTGCTGCATTATGGTAAAGACTAGAAGAATGCGCAGGAATATTTAGCTGATTCCTAAACTTTCTTGTCCTTTAAAGCTGGGGGATGAAAACAAAATCACACCTAGATGGACTAAATTTGAACAAATCATCGTCGCTGAGGTTTTGGCTGAGCTGTGCAGTGTTTTTAATTCGCGTAACGAGGAATGCAAGCACTTATCTTCATAATAGGTTGAGCAGCTAATTAGCTGTATGGTTTTAAAATGTGTGCTAAAGCTGAAAAATGCCCAT